AAAAAGTCAATAACTTTTGATATCAGCCTACTTAAGCACAGCAATCCACTGTTTCAGCTTAACCTCCTTTCCTAATGTAAGCATTCTTAGATATAATTGTCATCCAATAGATGACGTCCTGATAAGAAAATACAATCTTTTTGTATAATTCTAAAGCCTTTTCGTACAGAGTCGCTGTAACACAGTTAATAATATTTTCTTTTTGTCTCAGTCTTCATCTGTTTCAGCTTGATGTCCCGTCCATGATTTCACAGATTACTAATGATTACCGGCAATCATGAATGCATTCTTAAATGTAATTAGTATCCAAATGATAGTGCCCTGATTACAAAGAGCCAGCCTCCTTATGAATAATGTTCAAAACTTTGCGTAAAGTGTCACTTTACTAAAAGATACGTTACACAAGGGCGAAAAAATAGCAGTATTTGTTTGTAAAATAATAGTAAGAATGACAATTTTGTAGCATTGGCTAAACAAGAAAAATATCTTTCAGAAGTAAATGAAATTGATTGAAATATTTCCTTCGATAAAACTGGTCAATGACTCATCACGGAGTTTCAAAATCGCAGAACATTCTGTTCACAACTGTTTTCGAATCAAGATAATTCAAAGTAAATCGTAGGTATGCTGATCATACTTTTCATCTTATTACTGTCTTGAAAACACCCGGATAGAAAAGTCCAAATATCCTTTGCCTCGATGAAACTAAAATGCTTATATTCTTGTGGAAGTCCCTTTCATCAGGGATTCAACACCTTCAAAACCACCCTCTTGATTCATCCGAATTTACCGCACTATCACCGATCGCCATATTTAAGTGCGGAATTGAACTCAATTTTTTTTTTTCAGAAAATACTATCCCAGTCCCCCTTGAGGTAAATCAGCTACCATAACTTATCCAGTGCTTCCCAATAACGTTTATGACTTAATCTTTCATTCTGGCAAGCTTTTCAATCTCTCTCTGTCATCAGTTGTGAGTTTTTATGAAGGAAAAAATAGCTTCAACCACTAATTCCACACTTTGGGCAAATATTGCACCCTTGCTTCAGATCGGCTGGCTAGTAAACCCCAGCTTGTCTTAGACTATATAGGGGAATTAAGACGCTGCTAGGTCATAAGCTTTTGTCCTATGCATAACATTAAGACACACGAAGCTCTAGAAGCTTCTAGAGGACTTTAGGTCATGCAGTGAAATAAAAAAACCTGTTGAACGTAAGATGTTTGACCATCCTTCAGAAAGATTTCTAATAAAGCACCAACTGTATACCTTCTGTACGTGACATGTTGAAAGCGTTATGTACATCGCTTTTTCATTACTTTCCTCTCACAGAAACTGTAACAATTTTTACAATCCTGATTATATTTTTCTTTCATCATATTTATTACAACAGTTATCATCTCTGACTTATTCTCTACATGTATATCGAGTTAGCAACCCATCAGTTTCTGATGAGACTCTTTGATTTGCTCTCGGTTTAAAATAAGAGGCAAATACAGATTTACAACTTATACAAATGTGCCTCATTTATACGCAAATTACCATTGTTATTCTGCTCATCACAGGCCTTCCTTTTTCCTCGTGTAACGAGATTTTTTGAAATTCAAAGGCTACTCACTATAGCTATGATCAATACATTTGTTGAATTCGAGGTGTAAGAATGGCAAAACAATATATGTAATATAGCTGACCCCCTCCACAAAGTAATGAAACACAACGGCAACCGAAGAGGTTCCATCTCTCCCTAAGTTGAATGCTATCATATAAATTATTGATGAATACAACAGGGAAATTTCCTTTTAGATATTGATGAGTGTGTTGAGGGATCACACAGCTGCAGTGTTGATGCTGTACGTAACAATAGGCCATTTTACAGTTCTACGCTTTGTTGCCAAGCCTTTGATTTGGAGTGAGGCTGAAGGTGACCTTGTTGTGATAGAGACCAGCATCTATTTAGCATGATAACGAAGTAATTTACATTTGAAAAGCAGCAACATCTGTATCATAACAAGGTCACCCTTAGCCTCACTCCCATGCAAACGCTTGACAACCAAGCATGCAACTGTAGAATGGACTATACCAAGGGATCGTACAAATGTACATGCAAACCACAATACCATGGAGACGGATTGACGTGCGAAGGTATATATTACATTCAAAGTAT